AAGAATAAAGTCGTAAAATTATTAGAATAAAGTTGTAATTTTACGAGAATGAAGTCATCATACAAAAGCCCATTTCAGAAAGAAAGCTTTCTAAAACAGCTCCGCCCCGCAGATGACGTCAGACCAGCTCCACCAATCAGCAACCAGAGTCCACTTTGACATCCTGCCCAGTTTGATGCTGCTGCTAAAAGATTTCCTGATTTGTCAAACCGATGCTAAAGTAGAACTTCACATGATGCTCCACATTCCTCATTTTAGGGAAGAAAGGGCTTCTTGTGGGAGTTGTCATAAAATACAACTTTATTCTTGTAATTTTAGGACCTCTTGTAATGTTATAACTTTATTCTGGAAATAGAAGAAAAAAAGCCTGGCCCTAATACTCCGTCGTAAACCATTGTTTCGTTATCACGAGAAAACAGTTATTGATTTCTCGAGATAACGCGATGATTAACCTGTATAAGTAATGAATGAGGCTGACCAGCAGCCCTGGATTCCCAGTCCATCCATGCCTGCGGGGCAGATAGTCGTGCAGTCGCGGTACAGCGTGTGCACAAATGATCAGTTTAGTTTCCTTTTTCTTTTCCCTCATTATCAGGCGGTGATGGATGATTGGATTGTTTTAATGAAAATCTTTAATCTGGACTCATTTTGGGGGTTAATGCATCTTCTAGCTGCTACAGGCGGAACACCAGGGCTGTTCAGAAAACCCCCGGTGCTAAGGGGCCGGAGGCATATGGGGGCCGTTTGTAAAGTTAAGCAGTCAAAAATTTTGAACAATACATATATGGTTATTAAGCGTATTGCGAATTAAATATTTAGTTTTTAAACTAAATATCTAGCTCCAAACTTAATATTTAGTTTGTTAAATAAATATTTAGCTCCAAATTTAATATTTATTAAATAAACAAAATTTATCTAGCTCAAGTTTGAGGAGTTCTGGATAGAGCAGATTGACAAAGAATATTTTTTTATATTTATACATATTTTTTTACAATCTTGGTATAAATCCTGCTCTAGGTCCTTGATCCCTTTCATGTTTTCTCTCTTTAGCCTCAGAAGCTTTAAACTTTCTCCTTGCCTCAGCCATGACCAGTAGTCGAGCGGGCGGAAAAATAGTAGATCTCCATGACGATATAAGAGCCATAGGCTCTTCCAGGTCACATGACCTGGCCAACGACGGTGCGTCTTCTCCTAACTTACATAGTGGCTATTTGAAGAGGGGAGCCCCGCTGGTAGCATGGATAGCGTCAGTCGCTGTATATTGGCCCAGGAATCGTTTAAAATAACTCGTATGCATCAACTCTTTAGGTCACAAAGTCTGCGCTGCGTCTTTAAGGAACCGTTAACTATCTGATTACTAACTGATTAATCAAAAAAATGATCGACAGAATAATTGATTTGCAAAATAAACATTAGTTGCAGCCATATTTCACACTAAAACTGGCCACAGAAAATAAGGAAACAAACACACAAAACAAATCCTCATAGTTTGCACCACATCCGTTTATTTTATTCTCTAGATGTTAAAGGAAAAGTCGCTCATATTCAGAATCCAAACTTCTGAAAGTTCTTTAAATCTGAAATGATTCCATCCTGTTCAATAAATGATCAGTGTTTTTAATTCAGAGTAATTTTCATGTGAATGTGCTTTACTGG